TGCCACACGGGGCGCACAAACCATCAATTTGCGAGCGAATAAAACTATAGTGCTGCACCGGTCTGCACTTTCATAACATTGGATCCCAACAAAAAACGGAAATGAGATTACCAGTGTTTACCACAGTCGTTAAGTGTGAGCGGTGAAATGCATGCATGCATGAGCTTGGAGCTGAGACGAAATAATATGGTCTCCAGCAAAATGCAGCCCTTACTACACACCACGGACTTTATAGAGTTAATGTTCACCAGTAAAAAACGTATTACTTATCACTCGTACACCAACAATTCATCTCAATAAACATCACACAGTCCTCATTAATATCATTACATAACAAATCCTTACCACTACACACCCACCAAATATTCACTCCCCTCGTCACTCGGCTTCATCCTCACCATGTCCACACTTACCACTCACTCATTACCACTCACCAACCACTGCATCCTCACCTTCAGGTATTCCCTCTCTCCAGCACCTCCATCATCACCTATCGCAACCTCTCCACATTCGCCCTCACCACTTAAAACCTATTCACCCTCTACACATTGCCCACCAAGGACGACCCACTCATCCTCACCCTTCTGCACCATCACCATCCTCACCACTGAACCCCTCACAATAGACCCTCAACTCTCCACCATCCCCTTGCACTTTCTCTTCACTCACTATCCTCTCAATCTCACCACCCTCTAACCCTCACCCCCCTCCACTACACACCACTCCTCTCACCACTTCATAGCCACACCACTCACGCCCTCACCACTCATCCTATTGCACGTTCACCAACCTTCTCACCTTCGCAACTAATCGTTTACCTTCATTGCTCATCGGATTCCCCAAGTCTTTAGATTCGAAACCTCACCACTCATCTCCCTCTCAGCATTCATATGTAGCCTGGCCACCCTCAAAACCTTACCACACTCACCTCACCACTCACCTCATTCACCCAAATGCTTCATCATTCTCACAGGGCTATACCTAATACATGAACTTGAACATTCACCCCCTCACCACCCACCGACACACGTGAACCTCTCTCACCATTCACCCCCCTCACCAACAAACCCTGTTCTCTACGACCTCCCCTCTCTCTCTCTCTCATCCCACATCCTCTCCCCCTCACCACAAGCCCCCCTAAACCTCACCAACAACTCCATGCACCGCCAACAACTCTATGCACCACCACCATCACCACCACTTTCACCCCCTCACCCCCCACCGACACACGTGAACCTCTCTCACCATTCACCCCCCTCACCAAACTGCTCACCCCCCTCACCAACAAACCCCGCTCTCTACGAGCCCCCCCCCCCCTCTCTCACCCCACATCCTCTCACCACCAGCCCCCCTAATCCTCACCAATAACTCTATGCACCACCATCAACTCTATGCACCACCACTTTCACCCCCTCACAACCCACCGACACACGTGAACCCACCTCACCATTCACCCCCCTCACCAACAAACCCCGCTCTCTACGACATTCCCCCCCCCCTCTCTCTCACCCCACATCCCCCTCACCACCAGCCCCCCTAATCCTCACCAACAACTCTATGCACCGCCAACAACTCTATGCACCACCACCACCACTTTCACCCCCTCCCACCACCACCAGCGTCCTCGTCGTCGTCGTCACCGTCACCTGTGCGCGGCTCCGGGGGCAGCGTGACGGGCGACTGCACGGCAGCTCCCGCCTCGCGGGCGGACGGGACCCGCGCTGCCGCCATGTCCCTAGGCGCCTTCTGCTCTTGCTTTTACTGCCTTCAGCTGCTGTCGCTTCTTCCCCCACCGCTGCAGCCGCTGCCGCTGCTGCTTCAGACGTCGCCGTCGCCGCTTCGTGCTGCCGCCGCCGCCGTCTTTGCGTTCCGCAGCCGCACTGCCGGCCCGCGCGCGCTCATTGGCCCAGCGGGTGTCACGTGGGCGCAGCGGCTGACCCCGCCCCCCCCCCCTGCCCCCTCCACCTCGCAGGGGTCGCCTCGATCGCGCGTGACGTCACCAAACTCGGGCGACCAAATTACTGCGGGGAAAGCGCAGAAGCTTTGGATTATTAAACTATAAACTATTGTTTGTCAAATCGAGGTGGTTGTTGTTTATTTGAACAGGTAAGGGTCACCGAGCTATATAGCTCTTTTTTTTTTGCTTGCAGAAGTGACCCGGTTATCGTAAATGATGAGCTCAACGAAAGTGGCATGATGGTGTTGAAATGTATTGCAGACGAATGCTGCCAAACGCGTGGATGTTGATTTTAAACGTGGAGGGTGGTGGAGGGTGGTGGTGGAGGGTGGTGGGGGGTGGTGGGGAACCGGAGAACCCCGGAGAAAAATCCACGCGGCCACGGGTAGAGAGATAGACGTGCAGACTCGCAAATATACAGCAGGCGTCAGTGTTGGGATCGGTATAGAGCCAAACGACCTCCTTGCACACCAAGGCGAGGGAGTTCACATCCACCCCACCAATGCAATGTGCTGGGATGTGTTTTTACTACGAGCCGAAAGAAACGCCATGGGGCTTCGTCGCGTTCAACAGTGCGGCACTTCCGCACGCAGTGCGCCACTTGGCCTCCTCTCAAACACCCCATACCCCTCCACAACCCCCCCCACTGCCCCCCCACTACTCCCCACCCCCCACTACCCCCCCCCCCCACTATCCCCCCCCCCACTACTCCCCCCACTACCCCCCCCACTACCTCCCCACTACCCGCCTCCCTACCCCCCCCACTACCCCCCCCCACTACCTCCCCACTACCCCCCCACTACCCCCCCCCACTACCTCCCCACTACCTCCCCCCTACCCCTCCCCTACCCCCCCCCAGTACCTCCCCACTACCCCCCTCCCCCTCTACCACCCCCCCACGTAAGATGGCCGGCCACGCGGAAACGCGCACCAGCGGCCCGGTGTCTCGGCGCCTCATTGGCTCGCGGCTCCGCACGTGCGACGGGCGGTCACGTGCGGGGGTCACGTGCGCGCAGACCACGCGCCGCTCTCCAACCCTCCCTCCCTCCCAGCCTCAATCCCAAACAAGTGACGTCACTTCCGCTCACGGAGGGTCACGTGACCCCCCCACCGACACTCCCGCGTGAGGAAGGCCTGGCCTTCTTATGTGCTCCTGAAGGGATATTGCCCGAAACATCGCTGATGATATATTACTCGTTTTTAAGGCCGTGATTGTTGACGAATTGTACCGAATCTTCCAGCACATGGGGGGGGGGGCATGCCTGGAGGCCGAATTGCGATCGCTGATTGGTTGAGAGGGCGGGGACAGGCGTCACGTGCTAGGGGCACGCAAAACAACAGCACGTGGTGCCAGCGACGTCAATTCGCTCGCAAAGTTCAACACGGAACTTGTTTGTTGGTGACACTGAAACTATTACTGGTAGGAACCTCCTGGTTACACCAGCCCACAGGGGATTATTGTGTCCGTCCGTCGTGCAGGGAGGGGCTGGGTGGGGAGGGAAGGCTGGGTGGGGAGGGGAGGGTGGGCTTTACCTGGCACAATCAACGATAGCATACCTGTCAACCCATACGGTGTACCGGTATTCTTATTGAGTGTTCGGGTCCATACTACGTGCAGCCGTTTCATTTTGTCCATTAGTTTGTGCTTCTCCCTTGTGATGGGACTGTCGGATGAACGTTGATATTTATAAGGGCACGGTGTGACCAATTCGGTCTGAATTGGTCTGTAATACGGCGAGGGGTTGAACAGGTAGGCAGTAAACACATTCCTGCGGAGGGAGCTGGTAGGAACGTTGGGTTGCTCGGTCAATGGCCAGGGTCAACGGCGGCGTGGTGTATTCCGCAAATATGCCCGACTGTGAGGGCGGGCACAAGCCGGCGTGAGTAGGTTAAACGTTGAGTTTTATAAGGGCACCACGGGGTGACCAGCCTCTCCCCACCCAGTCCCACCCCTCCCACCCAGCCCCACCCCTTCCACCCCCCACCCAGGCCCTCCCCACCCTCCCCACCCAGCCCCTCCCCACCCAGCCCCTCCCCACCCAGCCCCTCCCTCCCCACCCAGCCCCACCCCTTCCATTTTTGGAATCACGACGTACGGACGGACACAATAATCCCCTGTGGGCTGGTGTAACTAGGAGGTTCCTACCAGTATTATTTATTGGATCGGCACCAGCCTGAATGTGGGCATTCGTGTGCCGGTAGGTGGCGATGGTTGTGCTTGCGTGTAATTACGGTGGCTGGAACGTCGCGGTGACGTCACCTCTGAACCGGTGCTGGGCCTCCCCTAGGTCGACTCAGGCCTCAAATGAGTACCGCTCTATTTAAAATTTAAAAAAAACCGCAATCTTATATTTTCAACGGTTTCTGAATGACACGCACAAATATGTTTATGGGGCACTTAAAATCGAGATTTGGGGGTCTTAAAATGAAAAAGTCTCGAATTTTTCAGATTGTCCCTGTTGTTTGGGTTCTAAAAGCTGCCTATGTACCAAATGTCACCTTTCTCCCTTGTCGGGAAGTACCCTCGAGGTGTTTGAGACATACGGATTAAGCTCTTTATTTATTTTGAAGATATTTTTTTTTTGTTAAAGTGATTTGTTTAACTTTCCCATACTTTGCACGCCTATCGTGTTTTTTGTATTTGTTGTAACTACTGGACATCCGTGAAAAAAAAGCTTTACAGCTCCATCGATATTCCTCAAATACACAAAGCACACCTGTTCTAGATTTGAAGTTTTCGTGACTGCAAGGGTCCATACTCTTTGTGTTTTTTTTCTTCGGTAAAGTCACGTAGGTAAAAAATAAAATTAAAGTAAATTAAATCAAGTGCTACAGTAATTTTGCTGTGACGGTGCCACCTGAAGACGGAAGCGTTGCATCCTACGTGACTTTACCGAAAAAAAACCAAAGCGTTAAACACACCTGTCCTGAAAACGTCTCCGTTTCACTATGACGTCACTTAAACGGCGGACGTCACTCCCCAGTCACACTTTCGCCGTGACGTCACACCTCGCGCGGCTCGTCGCGTGACGTCACGGCGCGTGTTTGAGCGGATGACGTCAAACCCCGCCGTTGTCGAGACACAAAGCGGCCGCTTGCTGTGGTGGTTGCGTCTTGTCTCGCCGCCTTCGCCCGCGATGATGAAGCACGGCGCCCGCTGAACCCCCGTCACGTCGTGGAGCCGAGCCGCTACTGCTGCTGCTACTGCTGCTGCTGAAGGAGGAGGAGGAGGCGGTAAGCGGCGCGTGTTGCTGTTTACTGACAGCGAGCCCCCGGAGCCCGTGTCGGTCCAGACCGCCTCCTCTTTCTTATCCCCCCCCCACCCCACGTCTCCGTCGGCGGCGAGAAGAAACGCGGCGAGACGGTGGGGCGAGTGGCGGGGGGAGGCGTTAGGGAGTGGCATGTGTGGTGTGTGTCGTGTGTGTGGTGCGTCGTGTGTGTGTGGTGTGTCGTGTGTGTGGTGGTGCGTGTCATGTGTGTGTCGTGTGTGGTGGTGCGTGTCATGTGTGTGTCGTGTGTGTGGTGCGTCGTGTGTGGTGTGTCATGTGTGTGTGGTGTGTCGTGTGTGGTGTGTCATGTGTGTGTGGTGGTGTGTCATGTGTGGGTGGTGTGTCGTGTGTGGTGTGTCATGTGTGTGTGGTGTGTCGTGTGTGGTTTGGCATGTGTGTGTCGTGTGTGTGGTGCGTGTGGTGTGTGTCGTGTGTGTGGTGTGCCGTGTGTGGTGTGTTTGTGAGTTGACATGGTGAATTTATACGGGGTGTCTGCTTGTGTGTGTGCACGGATGTGGTGTGTGTGTGTACATGGATAGTAGTTGTGTACGTTGAAGTGCGTGTGTATTACAATGCGTCATCTGCCGGTCATCTGTTCCGTGACATGCCCCAAACGAAACCCTGCCGCGGTTCACGTGACAGCCTCGAGGTGCACCTAGCCTGGCACGAGAGCCGTGGGGACGTCACCGCCACTTAGTGGCGAATAGCGACTGGTTTAAACCAGGTGAGAGAGATCTCAAGAGACCCAGGATAATTTCATTTGCAAGAGTGGCATTGGTCACCAAAATGTCAAGTGTCTCCTTGTGTGGGATGTGTGCACGAATAAGCTGTGTAAACGTGTAAGTGTATAGTGTTAAAGTCCATACTGTACCGTATAGTGTTTGTAGCTTGTATGGATTCTGTACATCTGTAAATGTGTCAGTGTTTTGTGTGTGTGTTGCAGATTGTGTATATAGTATTAGTGGGTTTGCAGAGTATGTGTACTGTGTACTTTTAGAGTAGAGTACTGAATGTATACTTGTGTAGATGTACTGTATTGAGTACTACATATGTGCCTGTGAAAGTCGTGTATTGTGTACGTGCGTACACAAGCATGTTTGTGTATTTGACGCTTTATGTATGTTATGATGCATACACAGCAGCATGTATCGTGTACATTGTCACGTGTACGATTGTGCCGGTGGTTCTCGCCACGTGTTCAATGCAAATACAACATTAATAGATACTCGCAAACAGCTCTCGCTGAACATAGTTGCGATATGTATATCGAGTATTTACGTCCATAATGTCATGTCATTTCGTGTATATGAAATTCCAAGTTTTTTGTTATTTAACCAGGTGATCACTCAAGAGACCAGGATTAATGGCATTTGCAGGAGTGACTTGGGTCCGAATGACAAGAGCAAAACAGCGACATTTAAATACAGCAATTAAGTCATATACTGCATAGGACATGTGTGCAGAGCACAGGCCAGTGTGTACACGTGTTGTGTGTGTGCACATTCATGTGTGTACAGTAATGTACCTGTGCTTTAAATGCAGGGATGTTTGCGCGTGTACGGGCGTGTGTCTGTGTGTAATGATTTACGGACTTGGCTTGGTTCTTGCCCGGTTAAGGAGGATACTGCATCTGTGCAATTTGACGCAACGAACCACATAGCCCAGCCGACGACGCTGCCTCTTCACAACAAGCAGGGCTACCAGTGTAGACTACAGCCCGTGTGTAACTCCACTGCTGGATGAGAGATATTTCACCACACTTCACCGCGCAGGTCATTGTGGTTTGAAGGTGAGGCAAGTGCAGAACAATGGATTTCTGCACTTCCCTCTTAACTGCCCACGTCTGCAATTTTTTTTGTGGTTGGTGGTCACTTATTAAAGCACGATCATGACTCAACGCTGCTTAGCTTCCGAAGTGTGATTGCATTGGGCGCATTGCATGAACGAGACCCATCCTGGTCTCGTGAGGTCTCGGCTGGTTAAAAACAAAAATTCAACTTGAAACCTCCAACTAACTATATTTGGTGTTTTGGTCTTATCCTCCTCGTTGCATGAGTTACATATTTCCCTGCAGAAGTTTGATCCCATGGGTTTCTGTATCTGGACAAAGCTGTATGCAGCAGGCCCAAGATTCACACGCTTGCAACCACAGTGTCTTCGTTGCAAGTGATGCATGAGGAGACCTTGTTTGATTGCACTTCCATTAAAGCTTTATTTTCACGAGTGATTTCCTTGCATGCTGCAATAATAAATGTACTCGAGAATATGCCATTAAACCAACAGTTTTTGATTCATGAATAGCACATGAGGCAGACACAAATACATTGGAGCTTTAAAAAGGGGGTTACTAAAAATATATTCTCGAGAAGATAAGGCACGTCAGACTTAAGATGATTTAGGCATGTGCTGTGAAGAGACAATCGAAATAAATTAGAACGATTATGGAGTTTACAGAGACCAAGGGTCAGATTGAAGCGTGCGGTGGAACGAGATATTGAGGATAGTGGATTTGACTGAAGAAGAGGCACAGAATTGACGTGCGTAGAGAAATATATTTTGAAGTACCTTCCTCATGGAATAATGGGACGATCAGCTTGGAATAATATTAAAGAATAGCGAATGAATGAATAAATTAATACAACAGCACGAGTCTGCACAATGCAATATCCATTCAGAGTCGAATACAGACCAGTATATGCGACACTCTTTGGGAAAAATCAGCAGTAGGAGTTGACCTATGGAGGACTGCGGAATGTCCACCTCTGACTGGCTCAGGGTCGCCAAAAAAGAACGCGTTGCGTGTCCGCTACGTGCTCGTTTGAGCAGGGAGACGCAGGCTTGTGATGCACTGTTGAAAAAACTGCGATATGCAAGCCCGTCCTTGTTGCTTTGCCTTAGCCAAGGGTGGGAATTGCACTGCGAGACGGACGCTCTGTGTAGGCGGGTGGGTCCCTTTGGTAGTGGCGGTGGTTGATGGTAGCTGCGCTATGGGGCTCGGAGCTTGGCGTGCCCGGACCTGCTGGACACCTGGATTGCTCCCCCCTCCCAGCCTCCGAACTACACGCACACACACACAAAAAGACGGCACACTTTTCTGCACTCCACATTCCTGGCAGAGAGCGGGTTGACAGGTAAAAGACGACTTGTACAGTGTGTACTACGGCCATTTATCAAGCCACTGCTCGGCCTCATCACGCCGTGTCGATTATGGGGATTGAACACGTGTCAAGTCTCAAGGATTACCCTTGAGACTCGGGGTTTTTCACAATTTTGAATGTTTCGCGACCGTCCATTCGCTCTTCAATTTCTTTTGTGCATCTGAAAGTAATAAACAAAGCCCTGTTTATTGCAATCGCACCGGCTGCTGGCCGATGATCCAGGTCTTATGTGAAGGTCGGCTCCCAAAAGTTGCGTCTTTACTTAGAGAAAAATGTGGAAACGCGTAACGTTTGTCCAAGGTTATTATTGTTCCATTTAATAAGGCCGTGTTCACGAAATGGTTTACATTCGCGTATTGCTGCTACGCAAACTTTTTTAGTAACCCCCCCCCCTTCCCCCGTTTTTTTTCCCAGTGTGCTCGCTCTTGCCTACGTGACAGTTAAAGGTTTCTGTGCGTCAGATTCTTGGGGCTCCCTCAGTTTCGTGTGTCTCTCTCGGTTTCTGGTGGTTTCTGCCTCACTTTATTGGGCGGGTTTCCCCCCCCAAGGGTATTGAAGATGGCGTGGGCCTCATTTATTTGAATCCTTTGGGGTGGACATGTATGAGGTTGGCTATACGTCACCACGCTGGTCAGTGTGGGTTGATGGAGTGACGGCTGGCAAGGACACAGGATCGATTTACTGATGTGTTTTCCGTGGCCGGGAGTTGAATTTAGGTGCCAAAGAGAAATTCGATTTTGACTTTTTGAATTCCTGAAAGGTCCCCAATCCTTTCTTAGTTTGTGGACATGTTGTGGTTGGAAGCTGGTAGCGGGGCGTTTGAGATGGTAATTTCTCCAGTCTGCCTTTGGTCACAAAGCTCACATCGAGAGAAACTGAAACGTATTGGAAATAACACACGACAGCAAGGTTTTCTGCTGTGACTATGGTAAATGTGTGATTGTAGCCGGGGGTTTTTATGTTCCAAGTCTCTAGATGTTTTTTTATATGACCTCAAGGGAAATTACAAGCACCTTTCCAGGTGTAAATTATGCTGCTATTGTTATTTGCAGTGACCAATGTTTGTGTGCACATGGATTGCCTGTTTGCTTTTAAGAATGGCAATATGAGAGAACAGTCCTGTGTAGCTGGTGGGAAGAATGTTCCCACCTTACCATGAAGGCTATGTATACATTTTGAAAGCTGTTAATTATTTTTTTTACACATTATTTACACACGTTATTTCTCCTAAGTGTGATAGACTCAGGTTGACCTTTATAACCCTATATAAAAACATACCAATGTCAACAAGGCTGCTGTCAGAAATGCTCCAAAACACTGCTTAGGTGCGTTGTCATAAAGAATCCTTGTTATCTGCTCACAATTGGAGACTTAGTCCGAATGTGCGGAAGAAGTAGAACAGGGTGGAGTGAGAACTGAAACAAGCAACGGAAGCGTTGGTTGCTCAGGAGCACATGTCAACACAATGACCTCACATGGGGGTGGGGAATTCCGCAGTGTGATTCATGGTGATGTCACGTAGCCTCAGGGCTTAACACCCAAATGGTGCTGGCTCCAAGCCAACATTACAAGTAATTTTCTTTTCGCCAGGTTTGTGATCACCGACTAAATGATACTCTTTCAATAATGACAGCAGAAGAAACATTTTATGTCAGCCATCAGTTAACTTAGTCCACATTTAAGTTAGATGGAGGCAAATTTATAGTCGAGCACACCCGTAATCCAGCACTTTATAGGCAAGCGTTGGTGGATCATAGAGATTTTTGAGACTACCAGACCAGCTGAGCTGTGAGGTGGGCAACATATAGCAATGCCGTACATTTGTTGTGGACCCATTTGTGGATTTTTAAGCGTTTTCCCCACCTCAATGGTTTTTGCTTGTTACTCCGGTTTCTTCGTTATAGAATTTAGCAAACACACTCTCCCATTTTATGGTCCGTCTGAAAAAAATGTGGAGGTTAAATGTAACTTTGCCGAAAAAAGTAAATGATAATTATTACCCTTACAAATGAAATGGTAAAAAGAAATGTAGAAATAATGTGCATGCTGCTGGGGAGGCGGGGAGTGCAAATAGTTTGGCGCGTAGTGCATGTATGTATGTATGTTGAACTTTTTTCGCACCGTACGTAGCTAACCGTGCAAATCGGAGGTGCATGGCTTCCCAATCAGTGAGTGTTTCACGAAGCACCGGTGGTCTGCAAGGCCGTGAAAAGTTGTAGCTCGAACAGTTGCATACACTACGATTTTTTTCACAAAACACCATTTGTTGTACTGCTCATTGCACAACTGTTGGGATTATAATCATTTCCATAAATATTTACTATTTTACAGCTTTTTTGGTCATTTTAATTTAGAAAAATGTGTCTGGTGCATGGTGGTCCTCAAAGGTTTTTGAGGATTGGTGTGATGCACAGGTCCAGAAAGGTTAGGAACCATTGTCTAGTCGACAGCGTTTGCTGCCATTCATAGCACATCATGCACATCTGATGCTCACCAGTTAATGCAGTCACGTGTAAAGTTTTCTCCACGATTCTCTGGTTAAATTTCAACCTACGGTTAGGCCCTAACCCCCTGAATTTGAGCCCCAGTTAGCATAGATTAGGTGAGTCATTGCGTGAATGCAGGGAGCCCTCTAAAGTGAAGGTAAACATGATGATCTGCAACATTTATACTATAAACGTATACCTGCTTGGTTTTCATTGTCTGTTGAGGCCAATGGAATATAGTTGTAATAATGGCTCTATAACAGGGGTCTCAAAAGGGTTTTGATTCCTTACCCGTACCCGGCCGCACCAGGGTCGCAAACGGGTACCCGTACCCGGCCGTACCCAGCCGTACCCGTACCCTTCCCGTACCCTTCCCGTACCCTTCCCGTACCCGGCCAGGTCCATATAAAAATCCAAACAAGCCTCTGCAAAAAGCATAATTCACTATCAATTATCTTCAATTTAAAGGGGTGAGTTTACGTGAGCGCATCCACACAGTGGCCTGCGCACCTCTCGACTTCGTCTTCTCTGAGAGGCCGCATGTCTGCTACATTCATTGAGAATTTGTCGACGACGGAATGCTGAAAATGTATTAACAGAGGAAAAAAAGCATTACTATTGTAGTCAAAACGCCATTCCCTATTACTCTACTCCTTGGTGATATTCTTAGTTGTGGGGGGGGGGGGGGGTAGATATCCAGCCATTTGTATTCATGGCGTCACATTGCATTTGAACCACGATTCGGCACTCGTGCCAAGGTTTAACGTTTTCACGATGGAAAATCTGATTCTTGGGTGTGAAAGGAGGTATGGGGGGCCATGTAAACGAAAACGAGGATGTGTACAATAGAGCGTTATTATCTAAGATTTTCAAATATGTCCATTTCAACATAATTAACCGAGTCTTAACTAAATAATGGATTCGGGAAGGAAAGGCAAAAGTGGAGCTGTCCTGAAGGGATTGAGTTATGGTCAAATGTAAAATGGGCGGAAAAGTCTGAGAGGTCACTGTGCTGTTTCGCATGCCTGGCTACAGGTTGCGCGAGTTGAAGGAAAAAAAACATCTTTGTCGAAAATATATTTCTTAAGCGGATGTTTATGTTTCTCGGAAAAAAAATTCAGAAAGTAAAATTGTTTCGCGGTGCTGGAAAAGTCCCTTCTCACAAACAGCACATGTCACGTTGAGTACAGGTTTACAAAAGCACACAACCCAACCTGTCCGCTGTTCAGTGCAACCGCAGTCAAATGCCGCAGCGTTTTGGTTCAGCGTGCAAGAGGAGGTCTGTTTCTTGTTGTTTGAAATATTTGCTCTACTTTAAGTTTACTACTCGGCACACACTTATTATCACTTATTTCCTCATCTTTTAAGGTAATGTCTTCAACTGCCAAGGACTGCAGATGACTATCATTGTATACTTGAAGTGTGGTGCTTTCTTGTAATACACAGCGTGCTGACTGTTATTGAGTTTGAAACAAAAGCAACAGATTCACGCAAAGGTGAAATACTGCCTAAGATATATCGAGCATAAATGAACGGGACTTTTTAAACACTCGTGATCGCTCACGCCTTCCCGAGTCCATCCTCCCTCCCATTCTGCAGCTCTCAAATCGTTTCTCCCAACAGCACAGGAAGTCGAGTGCAAAATAAAACAATAGGGCTGGAAGTGGGCTGAAGAGACCTCTGTAAGCACAACGCTAGCGCCTGGTTTCCGGGCAGCTCAAGGGGCAGGCAGGGATTTCCTGACGAGCGAGGGACACTATTTTCTACCGACTGCACCGTAAACCACATTGGTCGCTCGTCCGGGTTCTGCTGCTGGTGATTACACGCGTCGCTACGAGGCTTGGACCATCCTGCTACGCGCACTATCGCAGGCTCAACTCCTTGTCAGCTTTGCGTTACAAAGTTAAGTAATAATATTTGTTCTTTGTTTTTGATTATCAACAATTCACAGGCATCTCATTCGTACAAAACAAATGGCGGCAAACAAAGCCAAGGGGCAGAATGCGGCCCTGCACAAGGTGATCATGGTGGGGAGCGGTGGTGTCGGCAAGTCGGCGCTCACCCTGCAGTTCATGTATGACGAGGTGAGGCCTTTGGTGGTGTTGGTCCGATTTATGATTCGCATTTGCAGCGGAGCCACATTACAGCCACCGTAGTCATTGGTTTGCCTCACTTTTTGGAAGTACATTTCTGTTGTTAAAAAAAATTGTCCCATTCTTTAAATGTATGTCTTCTTGACATGACAATCTAATCGTATTTTGGACTGAATATTAAAAGAATTTCAAGTGTTAAAACATAGCAGTGTATACTCTTTGGTTCTTTTAGTAAAGTCACGTGACTTTACCGAAAGAACCAAAGAGTATGGATTCCTGCAGTCACAAAAGCTTCAAATCAACATAGCAGTGTAGTTTTTATATTTAAAGTTCTTTACATGTGCAGGTTTGTTTTCTTGCAGTCTCACCAAATATCTTTTCGAGAACGATAATTTTATGCCATTACCTTTTGGACATACGAGTTAAGATAAAAAAGAAATGAAATTATTTTTTTATGTAAAATGTCTAACATTGAAGAAAGCTGCTCTATATAGCCAAAGTGCTCACCTGCTTAATGGATGTACTTATTCCAGCATGCCTATTACTTGAGTATCATCAGTCTTCCTTATGTCAGGGATTTTAACTTCTCCTTGGGAACATTACCACTATTGAGCCTTTTCATTTCTTTCATTTATTTTATTACTTTGTGGTCATGCTGTGCTGCTCTACAGAGTGGCACAGGCTGTCGGATTTTTGTACACACATGAGGTGTTACTAACAGTGCTCTTAAGTTATCCTCTAATGCTTACCGACTCTTAAGACTGTTTTTCAGCAGGTTCTTGTAATTGCGACGTTTGGCCAATTCCATTAATGTATCTGCCGAAACGTGATAATTTGGGCAAAACTCTCAACTCTGGCTCTGTCTCACTTCCTCCCCGGCTTGAAGTTTGTGGAGGATTACGAGCCCACCAAGGCTGACAGCTACCGCAAGAAGGTGGTGCTTGATGGTGAGGAGGTGCAGATCGACATCCTGGACACGGCCGGGCAGGAGGACTACGCCGCCATCCGAGACAACTACTTCCGCAGCGGCGAGGGATTTTTGTGCGTCTTCTCCATCTGTGAGCACGAATCGTTCGCCGCCACCGTTGAGTTCAGGTGTGCATTCCCCCCTTCTACCCCCCCCCTCACCCCACTCCCTCACTCCCTCACCCCACTCCCTCACTCCCTCACCTCAACCGGCTGGCTTGCAATTTTAGCCCAGCGGACGTGTGTAGCAGTTGGCCCTTTAGTGATGCAATCGTGAAAGTTACTTGGATGTATGTGATGATTGTAGGCCTGAAGGCTTATAACACAAAGCAGCTAGTGATCAAAAGGTTATAGGAAATTTGGGAAGAGATGACAGGAGGGAGTTCCAAAGTGGAGCAATGCGATGGGAATGAGAGAATGGTGATTTTCTCGCAGCACAGTATATGAACACAGTATTGCTATAAGGCAGCTTTCGGACTGGTAGAACAAGTCCTTGACATTGGCAGAGGCATTAGGGCATGAAGTTTGTAAGTATAGTCACCAGGGATACATAAGCATTTGAACGATAGTGTGAGCGTGACTGGAGTGAACCGGTGAGCATAGGAGTATCAATAAACCAGGCTGCTTTACTGTGGATTCCATTAAGCAGAGTCAAGTAGGAACCAGTTGGTCTACCTTCAGAGCTTAATTTAATGAACACTTAACATATGGATCCATCATCAGGGCATTCTATAGTAAACTGGTCCACATCATAAAGGCACGTATCCACTAGGCATTTTAATGCATATCAACACAACTGTATGTGAAGACCCTGTAACAAGAGACCACACCTGAATCACGGCCACAGGGAGCAGATCTTGCGCGTGAAGGAGGACGACAGTGTGCCGTTCCTGCTCGTGGGGAACAAGTCGGACCTGGAGGAGCGACGGCAGGTGTCGTCCGAGGAGGCGCGGGCACGCGCCGAGCAGTGGCGGGTTAGCTACGTCGAGACCTCGGCTAAAACCCGTGCCAACGTCGACAAGGTGAAGCACGCAAACCAATAAATATCCGTTTTGTTTGGTTGTTCAATTCGCTCGCTGCCTTTGGCGGTGACAAGAGCACCACAGACCGTTGCATGAGGGCATTCGTGAATGTACAAGTGAGTGTGATGGTGGATAATTGGAGGTCATTGTGTGAGAAAGATTCAACATTCAGGATTATGAGCTGGCATGTGAGGGTGGCTGTGCAGGAAGTGGGGTTGCTGACTTCTCTTGTGTGTCTTTTTAAGTATTAATTTGTGGTACTCCAGTTTACTATCACAAATAATATACATACAGTAAAACTCTGGCGAGTCATATCTCGCCTGCAGTGACCTGCATACCCTATTTTTGGCATTTCTTCATGTGCATTACTTTATTTCATTCTTTTGCTCAACTTTGTGGGGGTTTTTTTCCTGCATAGGTGTTTTTTGATCTCATGCGGGACGTTCGGAAGAGGAAGATGGACGAGGGGAAGGACAAAAGCGGCAAAGTGAAGCCGAACAAGAGCCTGCTGCAGAGACTGCGAGAGCGGTGCTGCTTGCTGTGAGAATCCGCATCGCTGTCGGCCTGACCTTCAAAAGGACGATTCCAACTAGAAACACGTAGCTCTTATCTTGTAGATACCTACTTTGGGTGTGTGTGTGTGTGCTGGGTTTTGCTGAAATTAGTTTGATGCTTCATTCATGTTTTCAAGTGACTTTCAGAGCTCGCTTAGCAGTCGAGTGATATCACCGTTGTATGACTGCTGTACTCTATAGTGTCGCTGCAGTGACGTCAACAAAGCACTATGGTGGCACACTTGAAAGTCATTTTAAAACTCTTTTTCGCATTAATGAAGTTTCAAATTTTTCTCAGTCAGCCCAGGACATGCAGTGAAGGTACAAGTGTATGACATAAGAGCTATTCAACTCGTTGGTTTTATTGTGTTGCATTTTTCTATGAACCATAACCATGGCCCATTTCACCATATCCCAGCCTCTTCAACCATGCTCTCAATGTTTATCATTCATACCCTAATGATAACTACTTTAAATCCACCTCGCCTAGCAATGCATACATTCCATTGGAGTTAACTATCCTGGCTGGGAATCTCACCGACCCTTCTTGGCAAGCCGCGTAAATATCATCTGCAATTGATCTCTGTTCTAATGTCTGCCGAAGCACTCGGTGAGACGCTGACACGATTGCACATGAAACCACATCCTGGCATAGCTGAGTCCCTCATTCCATTCAAGTTACATTTGTTTATTATGAATATGCGATTTTTCTTTTCACATCACGTAAGGAATACAAACTGGAAAACAAATTGGCAATACACGCTGCAAGCAGAAATGCACAAACAAAAATGTGGCTTTTGAATGCGCCAATGTTTATGTATAGCAGGTTCATTATGGTGTGTTCATGTGACTCTAAGAGCTTATGGTTGTCTATTGAGGAGAGGAACAGGTAGCACATTCCTGCAGTGGCCTCGTCGGCAGCAAATTGCATTAATAGCCTGATGTAGGTGTAGAGGTGATATTTGGGATTGTGAAAGTGTTCCAATCCAGAAGGCCTTGTCTCGCCAATAATCAAAAGATCCCCACCACTGAGATTGGTGGGTTAAGCTTGAGATTTTTAAAAAGCAATTCAAGTGGCTTTGAGGAAGTTGTGCAATGTTTCGGTTGCTCAGCACACCCGGCAAAATTCGTACTGAGAAAAATATCATTACAGTAATGCCTTCACAATGTGAAATCGCTTCCAAGTTGCTTCATATCGCTTGTGAGTGAATCATGTAGCCCCGTCAAGGGAACATCTTTATGCATGGATATTGATGTCATTCTGACCATAGGAAGCAGCACATCCATCTACAGTGCTTTGTGCTGCGTAGGTGCTCTTGTGATGTTTCTCGTGTAAAAAAGAAATGGAAAAATCGCCTGTTGAAAATGGTCACAAGAAGTGTTCACTGTTTTGTATTTGTGGGAAGAAGGTAATTTGCCTTTACTGGAAAGTGGTCTTTTGTAAAATGCACACCTTGCCTTTTCATGTTTGTGGGCTCACTCACCTTCAGCCCAAGCAGGCGTGTGACTTGCCTGCTAGTTCAGAATCTTTATTTAGAATCTTTATTTAGACTGGAAGAATTCGATGAGCTATGAAGCTCTTCTTCATCATATATACACAATATTTAACACCGCGTTGGATTTTAGATTCCTTTTTTTTTTTGTTCATGAACATACTGTTTATAATGCTTTTTCTTCGTGATTAGTTTTGTGGATTGAGAGTGAATATTTTGGAGCATTTCTTCAGCATGTCCAGTCAATGAACTTCACAGCCCGGTGTGGTGACAAACACTTGAGTCTGGAGACTGCTCGTGCTGTCAAATGTCCAAAGGACATTTTAAACGTTTCCCAAACAGTTGACCAAGTTGGTTAAACGGAGCGTGTTAACACTTTGCAAAGTCTTGTGTGCTAGAGTGCCGTTTTGAATGTTGTTTAAGACCATCTCTGCAACAGGAATTGCACTTGTTGAGACTTGTGCAAATAACTATGCTTGTGCTTTATAGTAATCGTATGATAGAATTAACACAAATGTGCAAAACATAATTATGCGTGGGTTGTTTTGTGTCAATCTGTAATAAGGGGTATTCCTTGTTGCATATCGGATGACAGTCAAGTCAAATTGTGTGCTGGAAAGAGCGTGGGACGCTGCTTGTGTCTGTTGCTGACCCCTGAGTTAATGGTATAAATTTGACATTCTCATGGTGGAAGATAGTCTCTATAGGGCAACCACTGTTGATTCACAAAGTAGGACTGTACCGTTTTGATTAACCAAGGAGGGATGGCACGTTACGTTGACCCTTGAGCAGGATTTTAATTCAACGTTTCCGGTTCAGAGTCGAGCCTTCTGTAACTGGGCTTACCTGACAAGATTGCAACCAAAATTGTGAACCTGTGGCCAGATGCTGGTGGTTAGTTTTGAGCACACATTTACATGGGTAGCCAGAGGAAGCCGTCTTCTCATCTCATTTGTCTAATTCACTGTATTATTGACTAGAATTATTGTACAGTGTTTTAACAATTTCGTTTACCAGTTTATTTGGGGAGGGGGGGGGGGAATAAATAATTTACATCTGAGCAGTTTTGTGTTGATTCATTACCTTTAAGCTAGGTTACGCAGGAAACATGAATAACAAGTTGAACCTTTACATTTCTCACCTTGATAAATCTGTACTCACAGTGTTAATGGTGCTTGTTAAAAAGCAAATGATAATATAATTTTCAAAATAATGTCAGGTGGACGAACGATATTACTCTGCATTGCTGGGCATTTAGATCAAGAGATCATCCTGCTAAATATCGCTGAATATCACAACTCGGCAGTATTCTGTTAGGACTATTGAGACAATCTTAATTTGAAGCTTTCGTGACTGCAGGAATCCATACTCTTTGGTCCTTTCGGTAAAGTCACGTAGCTATTGAGACAATCCCATTTCGAGTGTTTATTCCATATGATAGAAAACTTACACACCCTGAAAAAAACAGTAGGATAACGAGTCCACAAATTGGGTTACCAGCCGAGGAGATGGTTACCAAACCATTTTCTGTACTCCATTCCATAATGTGCCAACATGGAATATTTGGAGCACTGAAGTATGATCAGGCATCCATGGGAGTGCAAGTGTCAATTCCATTCAAACTGGATCCGTGGCAAAAGCAAATGGTTTAGTTTTAATTAGATGTCTTCTTTGCCGTGTAAATCTGTCATACCTGCAGATTAATTTAATCTCCCCTTGGATGCTTGCATTATTTTTCATCGTGCATCCCTTCTGCCCAAGCTTACTGTTCGTGACAGTTTTTACGATTAACCTGCATATCTGCTCGAATCCGTGTTCCTTTTGCTGTCGCAATGTAACTAATAGCAGCCCTAGGTCCACACACTCTGCTGTCATTTCCAGTCGTGTCTCTCTGACCAATATCTCCAATTATAAAGGGAATTTGTAAATGACCTTTGCTTTATTCACATTTATCCTGAACCGAGCTTTGCAGCTCTATTAAGTTATACTATTTGATGCAGTTCATTCTCGTCAGATGCTGCCAATGGCTGTCATCCTCAAAGTTGAAATTGTTAATGGACAGTATTCGCCATTCTCATTTTCCATACATACCTTTGTTTCTCCAATTCGACTTTTGGAAAATATACTGTCGCCGTGAATCATTCTGGCTTGACTGACAATGTCCGACCACCCTGGTAATTCCTCACTGACTTGCCGTGGCGAAGACGCATGAGTCTTGTCGACCTTAGGAGCAACAGTGCTGGATCGGGGCACCCATGCCAAGTCCTGGGCGAGAAGCGACATCAAATGTGCTCCCTTCAACCCGCGTGATTTCCCCCCCCCCCCCCCCCCACTACTATGACCAACACACAAACCATATTTAGAATGTGTGAAGGCATTACAAACACAATACCTGTGGAAGCCGAGTCACATTGCAACTTTCATGGCATCGGCTGCTGATTTTATTTTATCCGCACGCAGGAAAACTCGGGGAAGGAATATATTTGCAAGGTGCCTATTCTACGCGAAGGTTTCGGTCGATTCAACTTCTCGAGATTATTCGAATCGAGCAGTAAAAGATGGCTTAAAAACTGGCACAGTGGTTCGTGCGCTTGACTCACACTCTCGGAAGGTCATGAGTTCAAATCACTGGGGCAAAAACAATGACTACTTTGTGAGAAGACATGAGTAATTGTGCTCGAGATAAATGCGCCGCGCCATACCCATCTGGTGGAGGTCACTGGCTCAGTGCTGCGTTGGCTTGGTCAAACTTCCAAAAGGTAGTACTCGTTTTTTATCACTGTGCTGCAGTGTTTTTGGTGGCCTTATGGCTGATGACGTCAATTAACCTCGCAGCATATCCTAACCCAGCCGCGTCAACACTTTCGTCACATCCCGACGTGACTATTGCAACTCTACACGCTCAACAAATCCCTCAACTCCACACTCCAGGTGGTCCAAAATGCCCCTTTCAGACCTCTCACCCAAATCCGAAGCTGAGACCACGTCGACCCAATATGTATGTACTAAAATCGCTCCACTGGCTCAAAATCCCAGCTCAATGTCGCACTCGCCATCGTCAAGATCCTCCTTGGGCTCGCCCCTGGGTACTTCACCTATCATCTCGCGCTTTTTCCTGCTCCGTACACTCTCTGCTCCCGCAACCTGACTTTCTGTCGAAGCCCCCAGGCAACCTTCGCTAAGTGGGAGATCACCCATTCTCCTCTGCTGGTCCCATGGTCCCAAACGCTTCTTTTAACCAGACGTCAGTGCTGCCGACTCCCTGCCCAAATGCAAGTCCAGGCTCCATATTGAAAGTTCCCCCCTCTGTCTATGACTGACGGTCTCTATTTTAAATCGATATTCACGGTCTTGTGTACATTCTCAAGACGCGTTCACAGCTAGTGCTATAATACATCTATCCGATTGTAGTTGTAACGAGGAAGACACGGAAAATGCAACACCAACCCAGAGTTCTGCTGACTCCACACACGTTGCTAGAAAACACTTATCCCACCTCGCCCACAAACTGATGGTGATGAATTGCGATCAATTGTACAGTTGATGATCGATCATTATCCGGCGTGAGATTATCCGGCTGCTTCCAACATTGCCCGGTGGAACCGGGCCGATCTGGCGAAACCGGCAAAACCGCTCCAAAGGCTGCAACCAATCCGGTGATCGGCACCACGTGCGTGACAAACACTCGGAGCTCTGCTCGATTTCAGTGTTAAATATGATATACAGTACATTAGGGGCCGTCCATAAATGACGTCACGCGATTTAGGATGATTTTTGACCCCCCCCCCCCCTCGTCACACGGCGTCACAAAAAGTCAGACCCCCCCTCAAATATGACGTCACAAAGCTCTGCCCCCCCCCCCAAAAAATAAAACATGCTACAAATCGCTTTAAACTATTGTCATTGTAGTGCGTATTTAATGTGGCGCTGCATTCTGATGTAGGAGAACACATTTATTAAAAAGTCTTTAATTAAGCATCACGTGTTGTCTATTTATTTAAAGTTGCGCATTTTGATGTGACGTCACATTTCTCACCCCCCCCCCCCCTCGTCACACATCGTCACAAATGTCTGACCCCCCCCCAGGTGCGTGACGTCATTTATGGACGGCCCCTTATACACTACATACACCAACTTCAACAATGACAATACTGCACGTATATACACATCACCCCATGCAGAGTATTCGAGATTGGAGTGGTAAGTACGGTAAATACAGTAACTTTTTAAAGTAGGATATACATTTTTTGTATATTTGTTTATCAAAATTTCAGATCTTAAAAAAATGCAAAACACTTTAAGAAAAACATATAACAACACCTAAAAACACGTCATCCAAGAATGTGCAAAAATAAGCTATTTGCGAGCAACATGTGTTGAGTCAGCAGAGCCTTGGACTGGTGTTGGAGTCTCCTCGTTACAAATACAATCGGATAGATTAATGACGCTGTAACAAAACAAAATTGTTCCTGGGCAGTAAGTGTTATTTCCTAATTGCTTATGCCTCAAAAGTACAGAAAATGCCTATTATTCCCCACAAACTTTGGTTTTGTGACCAGGACAGTGATATTTTGAAATTTACCTATTTTCAATGAGAAAACCTGTGCATTTGTGTCTTTCGTTCACATAAAGTCCTGGTCACAAAAGCAAAGTTTGTGGGGAATAACAGCCATTTTATATACTTTTAAAGCATAAACAATTAAAAAATAACACTTAGCACCCAGGAACAAAAATTGTGTTACATAGTGTTATAGCATCGAGCTGTGAGCGCGTCTTGGGAATGTACAAAAAACCATGAATATCGATTTAAAATAAAGACTGTCAGTCATGGACATCGAGGGGGGGGAGAAGGAATGTTTTGAGCCTGCACTTGAATATGGCAGCCTTGAGACGTTAGTTGAAGGCGCCTTATAAATACATGTACATTATTATTTCCCTGCGTTTATGAAAATCGGGCGCCCCCTTTCGACTTGTATTGCCTGTGAAGAAGACACCCATCGTGCACGCGAAGTGCTTCATCATTACAACCCTTGAACAACGCCAGCTTCCCTCCCTGAGTCAACCACTAACAGCAGGTGGTGCTATTGTCCGCTGCTGTTCGAGCTTTTCCTTACCGTGTTCGGTTTATTTTGCGAGTCGTTTTTTTGTTGTTGTTTGTAACCGTAGGGCGAGGCTGTATGGAGGCACGCTCACTCTCCCCCCCCAGGCGAGTGTCAGTGATTGATGTACGCTGCATCGAACGTTTGAGTCTCCTGCATAAGCTCGTCAGTGATCACTCTGTGGCTTTGGTTTTAACTGAAGCTGTTTAACTGAAAGTATAACTATGCCGAAGCGACCTACGATCATAGCCTACCGTTAAATTGTCACGCAAAATTGTAAAGGAATATGAAGAAAAATACGTTTTCTCACGTTTGGTCAATTTAACGAACTGCTTGGGGAAAAAAACACTAATATATTCAAATTCGTTGACGCTCTAATTTGAAGAAATGGTTTGATTCTCCGTCCTGTGGGCGTGTTGTGCCACGACCGCGGAGCAACTACGCAAGCGCCGCAATTCCCTCCCGGCCCCCGCACTACATACGCCACCCGCACGCAGCGCACCCACGTGGTGCCCTGGCGGGGGATTGCCTGGCACATCGGGCTTTAATCCAAAGGGCCCCTAGAGGGAAAGTCTAACGGTTTCCTGGTGCCAGGAGATTGGTGGACCCACGCAGGGCAGGTTACATTGCGGTGCCCCTAGAATTGGTTTAAAATTGTATGGGCGCAGAAAGAAAAGATTCACTGGGCCAACCGCAATGAAGTACAACTCGGGGGTGGGGGGGGGGGAGAATGGAGGAAGGAACCCTGAGCAAGGGACAATGGGTGGCTCCCCGCCCGCCGGTAACAGGGGCGGAGCGGGGTAACCACAGGTAAACGCAAGATTGGCTGCGCGGTACGACGTCACCCTGGGCCTTTGAAGTTTAGAGAATAAAAAGAGGAGCCAGGGACGATTTATGGTCTCTTGTCTTCAACCCCCGGGCCGTCAAGACTCACTCACTGTCGTCCTGCCTCTTCGAGCCGCTCACAGCATCTGTGCGATGCAAGCGAGTGCTGCTGCGACACAGTGATAGGTCAAGTCTTCTCCCGTCCTTCTCCCTCCGACCTTCCCAGCGTCCCGTGGGACGCCGTGAGTCCAACTTCGAGGTACGTGGTAGGACGTTTGAGTAACTGGGTTCGTAGGCAGAGTTAGGCTAAGCTCTTCTCGCGAAACATCCCTACCCCCCAGGTAGTGTGTATTTGCGCCGGTAATAGGCTTTAGTACAGAGTGTCGGCGCAGTGTGATGTGTGTGTGTGGGTGGAACCTCGGCGCGGTGTTGGTAATTTGAGCGTGTGTGTGAGGCGCGCGTGTATTAAGACATCCACGGCCGCCAACGCTCGCGCGTGTTTACGAGCGCGCGTGCGAAACAAGCGTCTGCAGGGGCGCGCGTGTTTACGAGCGTGTGTGGGAAACACGCGTGTGCAGGGGCGCGCGCGTGCACGCATTCGCTTGTGTGGTGGTGTACGTGGGCGTGTGCGGGATAACCCCGGGCGGTGGTGAGCCAGCCGCTTAGCGATGTCCCCCAGAGAGGAGGGCGCTGGCGCGCGGGGGCCGATCACACGATCGGCGGGGGCCCGGCGAGAGACTGCTGACGAGGAGGAGGGGGGAGTGGAGGGGGTGGACGTCGCGGCCCCCACAGGTAACAATGCTGTGACCGTGTTTTAACATTTTGGAATGTTCTCACATTACAGTGTACGTATGCCACACACGTAGGTTTGTTTCAAGACGGGAAATGTCAACTGCAGGATATTGGTAAGAAGCCGTTTTATGTACCCGCTCAAAATCGTGACTTTACATGAAATCGCCAAGGGTTTTTGTTTGCACATAGTCACTTTAAGATGTTTTCTTGTTCAT